AATGTTTTGCCTAAAAGTATGCAATGTGCACGAGAAAAGAAGGCATGGAGAAGTATGCATTGTGTATATGGTAAACTGTTAATATGTATTTACTGCTGAATAGATTTAAAAATTTTTTTGAGTAGGAAATATCAATTACGGCCAGCTGTTTTAAATCATGGACTTGTCAAATTTTGGAACGCCTTTAGAATATAGCTTTTATCGTAAAAGTGTGAATAATTTCGATTTAATTACTAAATCGAGCTGAGTTCTAATGAGCTATAAATGTCTCTTTTTGCATAAATAATTATGCTAATATAGATAGTTCCATATACAACACTGTTTTTGCTCCTAAAATGCATCACTTCTCTTAAATGCAAATAAATTAAAAAATACTCGATAATTTTCAAAACAAATGACCTCAAAGTATGCTTCACATATTCTCGAGTAATGGGAGAATTGTTTAGGATATTATTCAAGGAAAATCCGGTATTTTAATTGGCATTTTCTTTTTTAATTTATAGTGTTGGATATTTGACAAAATATTTTTGAAGGACAATTCATGTTATAAACATGATTTTTTATAGAATGTTTTACCACCCGCTGGATTATATCTGATAAAATCCAATATCATTCCCAAAAATACAAGACAAACCAAATACGTTCCACGAAAACAGCTGTCCATAAATTCTAATTAGACGTTAGGTTTGTTCCATGGCACAATAAATAGGTAGTCCATTTAGCGCAGCTGATGTCTCTCTGTTCAGCTGATTTTTGTTTCCGTTTTTTTAAGATTAACATAAACTCTAATTGCTTTCTGAATCGAGGTACTTTTTAGACTAATATTTAAACTATATAAATGACAAAATCTCTCTAGTATTAAATATATATAAAAACAATCAGCTGATATTTGTTTACGTATGCATACACATTTCTAATAGGAATTCCTCTCCATCAAACAGCTGTCCATCAATACTGTGTTCCTTCCCGTGCAATTGTGTAAAATTATATAAATTTAATCAGTTGATATTTTTTAATATTGATTTAACATTTCTATGTTTGGACTTTGCTGTCAAAATCAAGGTACTAAATCCTAGCTGTTTAGGCCAGTATTGAAATGATAGAACGTTGACAGTCAGCTGATATTTGTTTAAGTTCTTTTTAAATATTACCATAAAGGTTCGTTTGGTCTATCCAATGCTAAATCGAGGTACTAAATCCCAGCTGTTTAGGTTAGTATTAAAATGATATATAGTCAATCAGCTGATATTTGTTTATGTATGCATACACATTTTTAAAAGCAATTTCTCTCTATCAGGTGAAAAATTTATATAAACGTTGGTTTATATTCATTATATTTTTTTAACAGTTTAAAATTTTGTCAGCTGCTAGCATTTTTAATGGACAACTATTTAGAATTGTTAAGGTAAACAAGTGTTACATATACATCGTTGACATTTTGGAACGGTTTTCGGAAAGGTGATGCATTTCTTTGTTACAAAACCAGTGTTGTATTTGAAATTATGAGTGATTTAAGCAAAATAATTGTGTATGGTAAATCAAGGAAGATTCAGCTCGCAATTAGCAATTAAATTATCAGATCATTCATATTATTATTATTAATTTAAAAACTATAGTGTAAACAAGTCTTTTCTTTGTTGTGATTAATTTTAGGGATACACTGATCGATTTTTGACCAGTCAAATTATTATATTAAATAATCTAAATGTCAAAATAAGATTTTTGTTGAATATTCTGAAGCTATAAATACATTTTAGGTGATAGATTTTTTATGTAGCTTCGACATTTCGCAGTTGATTCGATTTACTTGTTTCGACTTTGTTTATATTCAACTTCACCAATATTGCTTAAGTGCGACCAAAACCAGAGTTGCATTTCATATCACTACGAAAATATCAGGGAATTATTGATATACCCTCGTACAATCTATAGTCTTTAAAATGTTGATTAATTTTAATTTACCTAAAAAATGTTATAACTTTTTTGATTAAAAAAAATAATGTGATGTATGTATGTACAGAAAAAGAAAATATATGAAATGAATGAAAAAGGTGTCTAAATGAATGAACATATGACATGATGATGAATGACATGACAAGAAAATTGTTGTGGGAATTAGAATATTGCATTAGTTATGTGGCGCATTGTATACATAAAATTGTTTCATTTTGTTTAAAATAGAATTTGAGCAAAAAAGGCGGGCAACTTTTTGGTTAAGCTGTAGATTTAAATATTTTTTATAAAATTATTTTAACTTGCTTTTGATTTTAGATTGCAACAAAAGATGCTATATTTTTTGTCAAAAAATTATATTTACATACATAACAAAGAACATAAAACATATTTACACGAAAAATTGCTAATTTTTCTTTGGGCTAAACATGCTTCTTTTTGGTAGATAGGTGTCGATTATTTAAAAACATATTTTATTGGAGAACAAATATATTTGTTGTCATTCATGGTTGCGATTATTTTTTTTTTTTACTGAAGTGCAACATAAAACACAACACAAACTTTAAACAACATTCAGCATTCGAGCCGAGCAAAATAATTAAATTAAATGCATTCGAATTGATTTTCATTTGCAAAACAAGAGAGAGAAAAAAATAATATTTTTGCATACCAAATAAAAATTTGGGTATTCCAAAGACAGCATAACAAATGCTTTAACACAACAAATTGAAATTTGAGTTTGGTGGTGGGGGAAAAATTAAAAAGAAAAAAATATATTTCAATTAAAACATATGGTATGACAGAAGAAAAACAGAATATAGGAATAAATTAACACATTCAAAATCACAATAATTTCAAAATGGTTTGTTTTTCATTTATCAGAAAATAAATGTAATAAATTATTTATTAGATTTTTAAAATTAGAGGGGAAAATATATTTTTTTAAAGCAAATGTTGTAGTCATTGAAGGCAAGTCTATAGAACCCTATCTTAACTGACAGTAACGGCTAGTGTGATCAGCTGTTTTTATGTTTGTTGTCAAAAGATTTCATTTTCATCTAAAAAGTTTCATAAAAATATTTTTTTTTATTGTTTATTTCCAACAAAAAAATAAATAATTTTTAATTCCTAATAAATTATTATATTTTCTTGTCCGACGAGAAGAGAGTGAGAATTAACGCATTAAGAAAAATATTAAAGAATACAAGTGTCTAATTTAATTAGTTTTCATGGCTGAATAGTAGTGATTTATGGCTCGTTTAGACTAAATAGCTATATGGAGTTTTGAATTCTTGTGGGTAATCGAGATAATTTCAAATACAACACTGTTTTTGTACCATATAATGCAACACTTTCTAAAAGATACCAAAATTGCATTTGTTTACTATATAATTTAATCAGCTATGTGACATTAAAATGTCAGTGTATACGTAAACATATATCAGGTGGCCGACTTTATATATTTTTAATACCAGTCAGCCTGAATAGCTAAGCTTTTAATGCTCGTTTAGACTTCCGCTTTTATTGTGATAAAGTGCATTATATCGATTTAATTCCTAAATCATTAATTAAATCATTAAATTAAAGTATGCTTTATAATTAGTTTATATTCAAAATAACTGCCTAACAAAAATATGTCAGCTGTTGAAAATTTATTTTTTTCTTTGGCAATAAATATTACTATAATTTAAAACAACCGCGTGTTTTTGTATTTCTAACCTAATGGCGAGTAATTCCTAAAAAATTATAAAATTTTTTATTGAAAAATTGCCACAGAAATCATGACAGCAGCGAAATGTGTATGTATACGTAAACAAACAACAGCTGGCGAGCCGATTTAGAAGGCATAGTCTAAACGCATCTATATAAGGGATAAGTAAATCGAATTCCGACTAATCGATTAGTCTGCTTTTTGTATTGAAAAGTCGAAGTCGACTTTTGATGGTTGAGGAAATCGTAAAGTCGACTTTTCCAAATCGACTTTCGATTTTTTTCATCGTGGTTTATCATCACAAGTCATAAATTGTCCAAAAAATACACATTCCAGTACATTTTTTATCGGTTGATAACAATTCATATAAAAATTAATATATAAAATTAGTCAGTAAAAGTTGAAAATCGATTTTGAACATGTTCAAAAGAATCGAAAGATCTAAAAGTCGGCTTTTCAGTAAAAGGCGAAAATCTAAAACCGTTTTTTGGTCAGAGGCAAAACTCGAAAAGTCAACTTTAGCCCTCTTCTACGTATCCCTAGTCTATATTTGGTCTGTTCCAGTACTTTTTTTAATAGTAAAACTGCAAGAAAAAATCTACTAGATTTAATTTGAAAAGTTTTCGGAAATATCATAAAGGAAAATTTGTTATCAAAATCAACACAAAGCCAATCAGAAGTAGATTCATTTTTACTCGGCCAAATTTCGGGTAAAAAGTACAAACCATATATTGTGTTATTATAGGGATCTGTAACATCGACTTTGAAGTCTTCTACTAGGGTTCTAAAAGTACGAATTTGCCTATTTCTTTAAGGGTTTATTAATGCAGACATTGGAGTCTTAAATAAATGTAAACTTTTAATCTTTATAAGAATTTAGCCGTTTTTCATAATGAAGACAATATATTATGGAATAAATAACATATAATATTATGTTTTTTATTTTATACTTCCTCCAATGACTACATCACATTTGCTTTTAAAAATATATTTTAATATATAAGAAAAATATGATATAAAATATCGAAAAGGGAGGAAAATTTAGAAAATTGTAGAAATTTAAATAATGAATATGTTAAAAATATTTACAACAAATAAAATATCTATATTTTTGGATCGTTTAACATATTCATTATTTTTAAACATCATCATCATAACAAAGAAATAAGAAGAAGAAAATTAGCTACAAATAAAAAGAAAAAACTCTTCCTAGAAGTAACTCCTCTAGTGTAATAACATATGAATAATATAAAATAACAATAATAATAATAGTCTTTGATAATATTTTATTTAATAATAATACAGACTAATACAAATTGTAATAAGCAAAACATACCCATTGGCAGCACTTTGTATTTCTTTTTGATCAATGCCGGCTATTGTGTTACGCCGTTTGCCGCGTGCTTTACGTGATCTCGAACGTCTGGCTACAGTTTGTACATCATCGTTGAGATTATTTGTATCGGGCATTGTGGTGAAAACACCCGTTGTCGATTTACGTGCCATACACATGCGTTGGAAACGTTTACCAGATGTATCAACAGATATAACTTCGGCAGGATATCTATACACAAAAAAAAAATGGAAGAGAATAAAAGAAAACAAATAAGAAATTAATTTTACGTTACAAAAGAAAAAATATTTTATTGTAAAAATTTGTAGATGAAAATTATTTCTATATTTATTAAAATAAGATTTTAGTTTAAAATATGATATACATATAATTTTTATTCATTAAATAATTCGAATGCCTCCAAGGTCAGTATTAACATCATATGACTATCAGCTGATATTTGTTTACATTTCAAGAAATGCGTTTTCTGATGATGACTGTCTAATGGGGACTCCTAGACATTTGAATTTATAAATTTACCCTATTTATAAAGTTCTAAAATAAATTATAATCGTTTACACTTATTTTGAGATAATATATCATTATCAGCTGATATGATATGATTATCAGCTGATGCTTGCTTCCTTTGCTGTAGACAAAAAAAAATAGTTAAGTGATGAAAATAATTTCTATATTTACAAAACTTTGAAGTTGTGTGATTGATTACAACCCGTGTGGACCCCATCATCCATTACACGTAGCTACCTGTGACACAATAAAGTTTTATCAACGAAAATAATTTACAGTGGCGCTCATCTGCCATGACAAGGAGTGGAGTTTAGTTTTTTAATAACAATTACAGTAGTTCATTTAACCAAACATTTTCCCAGTAATGACTTGACACGATAACTTCGTGACTGACTGGAAAATACAACAAAAAAGACACAATAACAACAAAAAGGATGGATGAAATCATTGGCAGCCAGTCTATGCGCTTAGAAGGGAGTCTAACGAAACGCCTAAGAATGCAATTAACCTTAAAGGTTAACAAAAATCAACAATAAAACCCAGCAAGACATCAAATAACAAACTACACAGAATCTGCAGCAACAAAACTATCAAAAGAAAAAACATGACAAAGTGAAATGGTCAAAAGCGACATGGACGTGTAAACCTAACATAAAATTCCTTTAAGGCATTTTTAAATTGCATAGACGAAGAAGATGATGAAGAATAAATGAAAAGAAAATCAAAACAAGGTATGGCAATGATGGTGTAACACCTATTGCAAAAAAAAATCCACATAAGCTATGTTCCCGTATTTTGATAGTAAAACTCGTAAAAGGGCGAATTCGAAAATTGATGTCAAAAAAAAATCAGACAATAGAAACCTGGATATGTTGAAGTTGTCAAAAATCAGACTATACTGTTGGTGACAAAAATCGGACTATAGAAATCTAATTATGTTGACAGGTTGAGAAAGCAGTGTGCGAAGTAATGGTAACTCTTCTGGGATGCTATAAGACTCCTTGTCCAGTCACATACCCTAAAAAACTCTATCGGTATCGTGGCCTAATGATGTTGACGTTTATAGGAAACAATTCAATAATGACAAAAGTGAAATCAAAGAAGGGAATTTTAAATTCCCCGAAAAAAAAAAATCATCCGGTAAAATGACTTGCAGTCCTGAAGAGTATTTCGATCTAGTAATCCCTGACAATTACTAGATTTACTACTTCGAGGGTGCAGAGAAGGCAGTTTGCGAAGTAATGGAAACTCTTCAGAGATGTCAAAAGATTTCTTATCTAGTCACATGAATATTTTTTGTGAGCCAATTGAATGTGTTAACGAAGCGGTCAGTTTTCGTAAAGTAATATCTAAGGACCCAAAAACCTATAGGTTGTATTAAAAGTGGACGAACTCCAGAGACCCTCAAAATTTTATCAGCAACTCATTGCTGTCAAAAAGGAAATCAAACTTACTGTAGAGATCATAACAGGTGACTGCAGGATTTGATCACTCAGGTCGAAGGTCTTCAAGTAAAAGCAGCTGGTGGCTGAGCATTATTTGACCTACTACTTCGAGCATCGGACAAATTTGTCATACAGAAAATGGGAGAAGATAACTCCATTTTTATATTTGCTCCAAGGGGATATTCGGCATATGGGAGCTATTCTAGCCAAAAATTGCAAAAGTAATACAATTTAGTACTATATTGCAGTTTTGGGAACACAACTATTTTATGCAATTTTGAAGGACATAGAGAAGAAGTATGAAATGTTGTAATCCTATTTCATTTTTTGTTGCGATAGTGTTCAATTTCGATTTTATTATCGAACATAAAAATAACGAACGAAAAAAAACACTAAAACTATGAATTGTTTTTTCACCTCCCCACCCATACCTAGCAACTCTTCCAAACAATTACTTGCAGGTTGTCCGCCAATCTCATAGAAGCAGCAAAACAAAGAAGCCAATAATGTAATGACCACCAACCAAATTGCTTTTATTGCCATCCATCCACCTATTAAAATGGCTTTTTTCGTCGGCTATTATTGTCTCAAGGCAAGGTAGTAGAAGCAGGAGTAGGTAGGTAGGTAAGTAGTTGTTTTAATCTTTAGCTTCAATTGATGACCGTCGTGGTAGCCGCCACATTCACTTTGATTCCCAATGCCATGTCCGTGTAGCTACCAAAAGTTTTTTTTATGACTTTTTGTTAGCCATTCTTTCTCATGAGAATGTAATGCAAACAAATTACCCATTTTTTACGATTACGATAAACCACATGCACACATAAGAAATTGGAATGAGGACTTGTTTTTGGTATTTTTTATCGTGGAATTTATTTTGAGAATAATTTGTAAGTAATTACTTTGATTAGTGTGCATGTGGAAATTAATTCCCACTATTTAATTGAAAATCAATAGGGAAAAATTAATTGTAAAATGTTATTTTAAAAATGTCTACTGAATTTTGATGCGGACAGGTTTAAAAGGAAAATGTGATAAGTGTAAACGTTAAATTATTTATGAAAGGTTTTAAGAGATTTACACTAGAGTATTATGTTTGAGATTTTTACTGATTTACAGTTTTGGAATAATGAACTTTATAATTTAATGTGTGGGAAATTTATTCTTGAGAATAGAAGTCAGTACGGTCACCTATTTATACCACTAATCAGCTGTTTTTTTCATTCAGCCGCTGTGCGTGTTTACATTATTTAACCCGTCTTCTGATATAATGGGAAGGCAGAGCCATCCTGAAGTCAAAGGAGACGGTCGGTGCTGGTTCAAATATCAAGAAGACGGGCGCTTCATCGTAATCTTCCGTAAGGACCGGAAGTACTAAAAGAGGCACAGGGTAGCTACATTGGCGAGACAGACGGGGACTCAAATACTGAGTCTGAACACGAGAATAAGAGTAATACAACTGTCTTAGAATGCTGAGGGAGCCTCTTCGCTCCTTTGATAAAATGGTAGAGAAGGTGAGTAAGGATATCATCAAGTTCACAACAAGTAATAAGCAGTTGTCTGGGGCACCAAGGCGAAAACTGGAACAAGCGCAAATAGCAAACTGATGCTCAGAAGGATAAGACTGGCTTTCCATTTAATTCTTCGGAATCGGAGAAGATGATTAGGTCTCTGGAAGAGCAGACGAACGCCAAAACCACAAAAAAAAGAAAGCTTTCTGATATAATGGGAAGGCAGAGGCAACCTGAAGTGAAAGGGGACGGTCACGAGAATCTATCGACTGAGAGCGACGAAGCTGACTCGAGGCCTCCATATTATGCAATGGTTGTCAGTAGGCGCTACAGACAAACTCTGCTATGCAGTGATCGATGATAACAGTGCCGTTCAGACCCATTAGAAAGCGATGGATGCGGTCAATAATAAGATCATGGAGCTTCTCTGTAAGCGGTACGCTATCGATCTGGAAAGCTGCAAATTCAAAGAAGACTATCTAATACTAGAATTTGAGTCATCAAAGAGCATAGAAACCCAGAGAAAACTAGTAGAAAATATTGGTCCATGCAAGACTATAAAATTCAAGTAGATGTCAATTTTCGTCAAAAGTTGAGGCAACGAGTGCACGACAGAACTCATGCTCAAAGTCTTTGGTATGCAGAACAGGTCACCGCTGCTAAAGAAGTGAAAAGCGTTCCACGGGAAAACAAAAAAGGAACTCTCCTCTAGCAAATGGAGTTATTGCTTTTATTGCTATCATTAGCAATCGGATCAGTCCGGATTAGCAATTTAATCGACATAATGCACATTACCAGAATAAAATCTATTGTATTTATTTTGTTAACTAATCGAAAGTCGACCTAGTTTTCCCTTTTTTCATTGAACTTCACATAGAAATGGTGTTAAAGAATAATGTACACCAAATGTATTCTAAAAAAATATTTTTTATACATAAGGAAATGATGAGGTGTATGATGATTCATAACAAATCTCCTCAGAATAATAAACGAAAATAAATATTCAAAATAGCTGATTCTCTCAAAAGTTAACCTATATTTATTATTTGGAAATTATTTGACATATGCATAAAGGAAATGTCGAGGCGTATGATGATTCATAACAAATCACCTTCAGAATAAAAAAAAAACGAAAATAAACATTCAAAACAGCTGATTCTCTCTCCAGCTGTTGTCCATATGTTAGAGAACTCCTTAAAAGTAAGAGGCCTCTGTGAGATCGAATATAATCTTGTGAATGAGTGGCCTGAGTTATTAAGTTTGACTATCTATATATTAAGGCAGCAAAATTGTATCCATTACCTAAAGTAGAATTTTAGGCTAGTTCTTCAGGTTAAATGGTAAAAAGTCGACCTGTGCACCCCTACTAATAATCAACACAGAAGTCTATTTACAGCTGTTGTTATTTATGAATGAATACCACTTGTCCATTATCATATCAGAATACCTATTCATGTAACCTCCCAAAATAAATCACTTGATGCTTGAAAATTATGCAATGATATATCGTTGGCTGCAGTAAACGGCAATTAAAAAATTTTTGAAAATTGACATATTCCATTTTCAATTACCATCTCCCTTCCTCCCAACCTTGCTCCCGCCCGTGATACCACTGCCTTTGTCATCACTACAGGTATGACAATGACAGTTTCCAGATTTTTTTCTTCTCTTTGTTATGATATGTCAGCAATCACTATAAAACTAATTTGCATAAACAAAAATAACGAAAACAATAAAACCCTTGTCGTTTGGGAGAAGCGAACAAAAAATGCTGTACTAGAGAAACTATACGGATGAGTGGTCGGTCGGTTGGCCATCCATCCGTCCATTCAGTGAACAGCAGCAGCAGCATGCTTGACTTTTATGCTAATTTAATTTGAATTTAAAATTGTTATTTATTTACCAGGTACTCAACATTGTTAATTTATGTGTGTGTGTGACAGAGAGTGCGGCAGTGTGTGCGTGATGTTCCGCATGTATGTTGAGGTTGCACCTTAACCTTAAATATGATGGTGAGTTGTGTGTGCGGACAGAGATTGTTGATGATTTATATATATATGTTGTAATTTTTATTAAGTTTAAAAAAATACGAATAGACTGCATGCATCACTTTAACAATAAACCAAAATACTATGACAAAAACATAAATTACAAAATTTCAATGTAAATTGGTTTCCACGAAAAAAAACTATGAAGTGGGGCGATTAAATTGTTGATGATTTCTTCACAATTTCAAGGGAAAGTGGGGAATTTGGACGATTTTTTTTTAAATGGTACTGATTTCAAAAGAAGATAAAAGTTCAGGCACAACTCAAATTTTAAAGTTTTAAAAGCATTCTAGTTATCACTCATTTGTCATACACATTTTTGAGAACCTAAAAGTATGCAATATTTTTTATATGTTGGGATTTTAATTATAGAAAAAAGTCTTAGTAAACTAGTAACATAATCGGAGTAGTATTTATTAATTCCTAAGAGAAATTCATATAAGGAAATACTACAAAATTAAATAATATGAGAAATTCTGCCTAAAAGTATGCAATAAAATTAAAATAAATTGGGCTGCCCCTGTTCCTAGAAAAAGTCTCGGTAAACTAGTAACAAGCTCTATGTCGCATTCACTCATTCCCTTGTATTCATGTGGAGACTACTGCGTAATTGAATTCAATAGGGTTCAATTATTAACGCCTAAAAGTATGCAATAACATTAACTTATATTGATTTGAGGTTATTTTTAATAGGATGGTAGCAATATGTCATTGATAGATTAAAGATAAGATAGAAAATAGATTAAAAATAAGAGGTCAAAATTTAATTTAAGGCGTGTATTTTTTAAAAATATTTTCTCAATGCTTAAGGCCTAATTTTAGCCGTGGATTTTTTAAAAATATTTCTAAAGGCTTAGACCTAATTTAAGGCGTGGATTTTTTAAAAATATTTCTCAAGGCTTAAAGCCTAATTTTAGGCATGTTTTTTTTAATATTTCTCAAGCCTTAAGGCCTAATTTTATGCGTGGATTTTTTTAAAAATATTTCTCAAGGCTTAAGGCCTAATTTTAGGCGTGGTTTCAAGGCTTAAGGCCTAATTTTATGCATGGATTTTTTAAAAATATTTCTCAAGGCTTAAGGCCTAATTTTAGGCTTGGGTTTTTAAAAATATTTCTCACGCCTTAAGGCCTAATTTTAGGCGTGGTTTCAAGGCTTAAGGCCCTATTTTATGCGTGCATTTTTTTTAAATATTTTCTCAAGGCATAAGGCCTAATTTTAGACGTGGATTTTTAAAAAAAATATTTTCTTAAGGCGTAAGACCTCATTGAGGCGTGGATTTTTTAAAAATATTTTCTCAAGGCTTAAGGCCTAATTTTAGGCGTGGATTTTTTAAAAATATTTCTCAAGGCTTAAGGCCTAATTTTAGGCGTGGATTTTTTAAAAATATTTTCTCAAGGCTTAAGGCCTAATTTTAGGCGTGGATTTTTTAAAAATATTTTCTCTAAAGGCTTAAAGCCTAATTTTAGGCGTGGATTTTTTAAAAATATTTTCTCAAGGCTTAAGGCCTAATTTTAGGCGTGGATTTTTTAAAAATATTTTCTGAAGGTTTAAGGCCTAATTTTAGGCGTGGATTTTTTAAAAATATTTTCTCAAGGCTTAAGGCCTAATTTTAGGCGAGGATTTTTTAAAAATATTTCTCAAGGCTTAAGGCCTAATTTTAGGCGTGGATTTTTTAAAAAAATATTTTCTCAAGGCTTAAGGCTTAATTTTAGGCGTTGATTTTTTAAAAATATTTTTTCAAGTTCCAAATATAGGCGTAGATTTTTTAAAAATATTTTTCAAGTCCCAAATATAGACGTAGATTTTTTAAAAATATTTTTTTAAGTCCAAATAGAGTCACGGATTAAAAAACAAAAATATTTTCCCAAGGTCTAATTTTAGGTGTGGGGTTTTTAATATTTTCTTGATGCCTATTTTTAGGCATGGATTTTTTAAAAAATATTTCTTGAGGCGTAACTTTAGGCAAGGATTTTTTTTAATATTTTCTCAAGACCTAATTTTTTTAAGATATTTCGAAAAGCCTTATTTTAGGCTTGGATTTTTAAAAATATAGTTTCAAGGCTTATTTAAAGGCCTGGATTTTTTTAAAATATTTTCTAGAGGCCCAATTTTAGGCGCGGATTTAAAAAAAACAAGACCTGTTTTTTTCAATTTTGAAAAAAATAAATGTCACTCACCTTAATGCTATAATTTTACATTGTTCCTCGGGCGAGGGCAGTCGATGATTTAAAGGCACATCGTTATTGATATCATTAGGAATATGACTGTTATCGATTAATGTATTATTGTGATCAATGGAATATAGCGCGTCAACAGCATCAGCTGATAGCACGGACGGAGATAGGGCCGGTGTTAGGACACCATTATCACCAATTACAACCGATGTTGAGATTGATGTATCCACATGATGCATACAATCGGGGGTGACGGTGACATCACCCAATGCCTCACTGGATGTCCATTTGCGTAGATCTTCAATGGCGGCAGGCTGTAAGAAAAACAAAAGAGAGAGAGAGAGCGAGTGAGAAAAATAAACAATCAACTTAAAATCATGTTATCTCATAACAGCCATCAAAATAAATGTCTTGACACGAGCCGAATACAATGTTGACATGCTATTTTTAATTTTTAGATATAGTTTTTTCTTGCATTTCCAAGAGGTATACTTTAAGGCTAAGGGCATAAAAACTCTATACAATGGCGATTACTCACGCAAAAATTCATTCTTTCATACAAAAATGGGAAAACTGAAAACTTAGCCTAAAGTATTAAATTATGAGTAGAGTGTGTGTGTGTCCAAGGTGAGGATATAGGGAAGCGAGAGAGGGGGAATGGAGAAAAATCTATTTTATATAAAATCATGGTCATTTATTGTTCTGACTGCAGCTGGCCCAGAGCCAAAATGTCGCACAGACTTTTGGCACAAGGTTCACAGACGCATTGGTAATTTTGTATGCAACGGCCATTGACATTTAAATAATAGGGAAGCATACTTTTAGGCAACCTCAAAACAATAACAACAAATGTTGCATAGTTGTGGTTATGACTATTAGTTTTGAAAGGGTATTCAAAAGTTAGAGGCATACATGGAAATATGGACATTAAAAATCATATGGATATTAATTTAAATTTTTTTACATATAGCAAATTTTGATTGCGTGTGTTTTCGAAGTAACAAAAATTCCGTTATTGTGGCATATTTTTAGGCACCGTTATTAGTTTTTATTTACATACATTTTCAGATTTAATACTGAAAATTTTATTTAAAAATATTTGTATAATGAAAATATTTTAGAAGGGATTTTCCTATTAAATTAATAGTTGAAAAACTGCCCCACCTCTTTCCTTCCCTTTCAAAAGGAAATTTTATCTTCATTTTACCCAGACAAACATTGTAAGAACTTTGACAATTATTATTATTATTGTGATTGTGTACACATAGTTTTTAGAATAATTGCAGCAGGTAAAATATGTATAGCATACCTTTAGGCAAAATTAGTTTTCTAAAATATGATATTCGTACAAACAAACAAAAGATCTAATCAAAACAAGATAAAAACAAAACTATTAATTTTCCAACATTCACACAGCCAGACACACATGCAAAGCAAAGGTGTCTGATTTCAGCCTCAATGTATGCTACAATTCTGTTGTACATGTGTATATATTTTTTGTTAGTTTCATTTGTCACATGAATATTTTCACACGCAAAAGGACTTGGACAACGAGAGACCTTCTCCCTCCACCCCCTGTTCTGCAAAAATTTTAAATGTTGACATTTAGAGAAACAAATTAAAATGTACACAAATTGTTGCATACACTTGGGGATTTGGTAAATAAAAAAATGTGATTAGAATACACGTTTTTTTAATATTACTAAGGCATTACTTTTTTAGATCTACGTTAAGTAAAAATATTTATAAATATTTTCTGAGTTCTAGATTTAGGCGCAGATTTAAAAAATATATTGTTGAAGGCCTATTTCAAGTCGTGGATTTTTTAAAATTATTTTTTGAAGTCTATTTCAAGGCGTTTATTTCTAAAAATATTTTTGAAGGCCTACATTATGGCGTTGATTTTTAAAATTATTTTGAAGGCCTATTTTAAGGCATCGATTTTAAAATTAATTTTGAAAGCCTATTTTAAGGCGTGGATTTTTTAATTAATTTTGAAGGCCTATTTTAAGGCGTGGATTTTTTAAATGTTTTCTGAAGATCTATTTCAAGGCGTAGATTTCAAAAAATATTTGTGAAGGCCTATATTATGGCGTGGATTTTTTACAATTATTTTTGAAGGCCTATATTAGGGCGTGGATTTTTAAAATTATTTTGTAAATGCCTATATTAAGGCGTCAATTTTTCAAATTTATTTTTAAAGGCCTATATTATAGCGTGGATTTTCTAAAATTATTTTTAAAGGCCTATATTAAGGCGTGGATTTTCTAAAATTATTTTTAAAGGCCTATATTAAGGAGTCGATTTTTTAAACTATATTTTTAAAGATCTATATTAAGGCGTGGATTTTCTAAAATTCATTTTTGAAGGCCTATATATTAAGGCATGGTTTTTTTGAATTTATTTTTGAAGGCCTATATATTAAGGCATGTTTTTTTAATTTATTTTTGAAGGCCTATATATTAAGGCATGTTTTTTTAATTTATTTTTGAAGGCCTATATTAAGGCGTGGATATTTTTAATACAATATTTTTTAAGGTCTATATTAAGGCGTGGATTTCTGTATATATATATATTTGAAGCCCTATTAAATGCGTGGATTTTTTCAAATATTTTTTTCAATTCTACTTAAAAGCGTGAATTTTTTTTATAATTTTTTTCAAGTCTACTTAAAGGCGTGGCATTTTTCTAATATTTTTGCCTAGTTTTAGGTGTGGATTTTTTAAATTTATTTCTAAATATTTTTTTGTCTGGTTTTAGGATTTTTTTAAATATTAAAATATTTTTTGCCTAGTTTTAGGTGTGGATTTTTTTGAACATTAAAATATTTTTTGCCTAGTTTTAGGCGTGGATTTTTTTTTAAATATTTTTTATTAAATATTTTTGCCTACTTTTAGGCACCGATTTTTTTTTAAATATTTTTGACTAGTTTTAGGCGTGGATTTTTTAAATATTTATTATTAAATATTTTTAGCCTACTTTTAGGCGCGGATTTTTAAAAATATTTTTTGCCTAGTTTTAGGCGTGGATTTTTTAAATATTTTTGCATAGTTTTCGTGAATTTTTTTTTATAATTTTTGTCAAGCCTACTTAAAAGCGTGGATTTTTTTTTTATAATTTTTTTCAAGTCTACTTAAAGGCGTGGCATTTTTCTAATATTTTTGCCTAGTTTTAGGTGTGGATTTTTTAATATTTTTTCTTAAATATTTTTTGTCTGGTTTTAGGCCTGGATTTTTTTAATATTAAAATATTTTTTGCGTAGTTTAGGTGTGGATTTTTTTGAATATTAAAATATTTTTTGCCTAGTTTTAGGCGTGGATTTTTTAAATATTTATTATTAAAATTTTTTGCCTACTTTTAGGCGCGGATTTTTTTTTACATATTTTTGCCTAGTTTTAGTCGTGGATTTTTTTTAAATATTGATTATTAAATATTTTTAGCCTACTTTTTGGTGCGGATTTTTTTTAAATACTTTTTTGCCTAGTTTTAGGCGTGGATTTTTTTAAATAGTTATTATTAAATATTTTTGCCAATTTTTGTAATATTTTTCCACAGCCTTGCTTTAGACGTAAACTTTTTAAAAAATATTTTTTTTTCATTTTCTACTTTAGGCATGGATTTTGCAAAAATATTTTCAAGTGGATTTTTAAAAAAATATTTTTTTTCATAGATCTACCCTCGTATTTCTTAAGCGGGAGTCTTTTTTCGCTACCTTTCACATCTTCTCCATAGAATAGCTGAACAGCAGCTAAGCTATTCCAACATAAAATATGTTATGGTTCCTCAAAATATAGCAGCATCAGCTATAAACCATAGATATATACAGTCTCCACAACAAGTCTTCTTCAAAATGAACCAAAACTAAACTCAAAAAAATTATTTTTTGCCTAGATTTAGGCGTTGATTTTTTTTAAATATTTAATAGTCGTGGATTTTTTAAATATTTTTCCACAGCCTAGTTTTAGGCGTAGATTTCTTAAAAATATTTTTCTAGGCTTATTTAAAGGCGTGGATTTAAATAAAATGTCTTCTCAAGACTTATATTCAAACGTAGATTTTTCCAAATCCTATAAAGTTCTATTAAATATCCACAAGTCTTAAACGGCATTTACATTAGAACTTTTTACCGGGTTAACCTACTCTATGAGGATTTATTTGACATATATACAATGGAATTGACAATTGAAACCCACTGGGTTAACAAAATCCGGTACAATGTAAACGTACTATTAGTCTAATTCATTTAGCAGATTTTTATTATTCCCCGCTAATTTCATAATCGAACATAAATATTGGAATTATTAATAGAGCACCATTAAACTTCATTAGTTTAATCTTTAGTGGAAAAGTTTTTCTCATGTTTTGTTTTTTTTTTTCAAATTTTTATTTACCTCGGGATGTAGGCAAATAATGTTTATTGTCACATTACATTCATATGCAATCATAATATTTAAGTGTCTTATATAATCTAGCAGGAGACAGGCTTGACTGGAAAAAAATAGCCATAATGACGACCAAATACATTGCTGGCCACGTTAGCCAACCAACCACTTGGCCATGTCATGTAACCATATGTTGGTTGGATGGCTTGAAAGTTTATCAAATCCAATAAAGTTTGGTGTTTTAATGAGAAGATTTTGGTTTGGTGCAGGTGAGTTGAGGAGGAAGCGCTGCTGGTTTCTGTTCCTACTTAAATGATAACCACACATTTTCATGCGGGGAATTAAAAAGTTTGGTTTTGTCTGGCCTGCTGGTGTTGTTCCGGATAAATGTATATCTCCATACAAATTTATCTTCATAAATAAAACTGATAAATGTGTGTATTTAACAAAAAAAAATGTGTAAATAAAAAAGTCGCAACAGAGTGAAATCATGGTAACCCTATAAGGCTACATTAGCATACTTTTGGGCTGTTAAATATTCGTATTTATTTTAAAATTATATATAATTTGTTGCATAACATCGAATGCGATCCAATAACAAGGATATCAGATTGCACAGAGCTTATGTGGGTATAAAATTATCATATATGTTATTCCTATATGGAAGGATATAAATATATTTATAATTTTATGCTGAGTTAAATTATTGGGAAAAATTTCCATTTATATTTTTTGTTTGTCAATAAAATTTTTGGCACATGGAACATGACAATAAGAGAAAAACATGAGCGGAAATGTTAAACATATTTCGTTTTTTTTTTTTTTTGCAATGAAATATTCAATTGCATTAAGGGATTTGAACGAACCAACTCAAATGCAGAGAAACAGAGTATAGTTGAAATAAATGGTGCATACATTTAGATGCAAGGAAT